TTGAGTTGATTGAACAATGTAATAAGACTAGAGACTGATAGTGTTTTTTTTATCTTTTGTTTTATGTATTTATGGTCAAATATGGACATTGAAAATGGAAACGAACGTTATTTCGTTATATCAACTATCGAAATTGAGCATTCTGGAAGACCTGTGAAACTATACCCCTAAGATGTCACGGTATAAGGAAATTACAGTAAATTGATATGGAGCCGAAAGGGTTAAGAAGGAAAATCCTCTCGGCTTTTTTAAGATAGCGGCATGAGAGGGAGGCATGGACCGCACACGTGGCACCTGTGGGTGGTGCTAACGTGTGACGGCACCCGTGCACCGGCTCTCTGCCCGCCGTTTTTAAGTATTTAAACTGAAGCAGGGAACCAGAGGACATTGAACGAACTTACCCGGTTGAAGAAGCCACGCTGTCAGTGGCGAAACGCGTTCCGGATTAAGCACATTGCTGCATTTTTATTTATTTATTTTAAATCAATATAAATACATTTTTCTATTTTTTGTATCCTGGTTCCTATCCTTTCGTCTTTTAAAGAAGGGTTTGCAGTCCCAAACCTGCACAACGCTTTAAAATTGAGTCATTATTTCATGACTCTAGAATTGTGAGTACCCATTTGGGATTCTTATTTTATCCAAGATACCGTATTAACAATACTGCACAATTGTGTGTACTTCTATTTTTTCATACAGAACAAGATATATATCGACAATAGGGGTGGGTCGCCTAAACGGACCCAGAAGTGATCCAAACCAGAGCTGGGTTAATAGCTCTACGTTTGTAAGTGCATATACATTATATTTAAGATCCACTATCCTATTTTGTATGATCTATACTATGTTTGGTTGTCTTTTATAGAAATCTACACATACTCTGACATAAAAAAGAAAAAACTTTTATCTGGATTAATAACAGGTGATTAATCTACCTCTGTACTTTTAGAGCGCTACATTCTTTGATTTTTTGTATCTCTGTTATGGCGTTATTGTAAGGAAACACTGGAATGTCTAGCAGCTAACTAAAAATAACAATATATTGGTTTATTGAACACAGCCCTGATAGAGCGCATCAATCCGTTCTCCAACAATTACATTCGCTGTTGAGAGAGAAATTCCTTTAAGCAGGAAGTGCTAAAAAAAAATGTCCAGTAGTTAACAGAGTTTGTAACAACATGCCTCCCTGCAGCAGTGCATTGTACATCTAGTAGGGACCTCATCCCTGGTGCACAGGGTATAAACCCTTAAGTGCTGGCCATCAGCCTGACAGAGAGCCTCCCTCAGCTCGTCCAATAATAAATGCACTATCATGGAGATATTCTGTGAAGCCGGAAGTGCTGAAAATTGTATCCAGTAGCTAACATAGCCTGTCTCCATCCAGCAGTGTAGAATACTGTAAACATACAATCTGTGCTCAAACAGGTGGCTAAAGGTCATGGGGTATATCCCTTTATATTCCCTTTTGTCCAGGGAATCCTGTGCTGTTGCAATAGCCTGACGCCATTTAGAAGGACAATGTAGTAACGACTTAGCCAGGGATAAAGGGACACTACAGTCACCAGAACAACTACAGCTTATTGAATTTGTTCTGGTGAGTAGAATCATTACCTTCAGGCTTTTTTGCTGTAAACACTGTCTTTTCAGAGAAAATGCAGTGTTTACATTACAGCCTAGTGATAACTTCACTGGCCATTCCTCAGATGGCTGCTAGAGATCCTACCTGGGTCATGGCTGCCTTAAATGCATCCAAACATTCAGTATCTCCTCCCTCTGCATGCAGACACTGAACTTTCCTCATAGAGATTCATTGATTCAATTCATCTATATGAGGAGATGCTGATTGGCCAGGGATGTGTTTGAATCATGCTGGCTCTGCCCCTGATCTGCCTCCTTGTCAGTCTCAGCCAATCCTATTGAATCAGGCCACCACTTCTGATGATGTCAGCAGATGGCTTGCTATTCTGAGGCAAACAGCATGCAGAGCTACAGCTTCAGGCTTGAATACAAGTAAGGTTTTGCTATACTTAGGGAGGCATGAGTGGCCCAGGGGGGCTAGATGGTGGTTTTAATACATGTTTGTGTTCCCGACCCTATAGTGGTTCCTTTAACCCCAGGTGTACAGGATAAGCACCCTTGAGTGTGCATGTCACCGTTCTGATAGGGAGCACTAATCCGTGCTCCATCATCCCTTAAAACCTCACATATAACTGAAGTAATTCAACCTAATGTGTAATTATACAGCATATTCCTGAGATAGAGCACTAATCAATGCTCCAACAGTTAATCTGAGGTTAATAGGTGATATCCCTTTAAACCTACAATATAAGTTAGGTAATTCAATCTTGATGTGAAATGATACAACACAGACCTGATATAGAGCACTAATCTGCGCTCTAACAGTCCTAGATTAGTGGGTGATATCCCTTCAAATATCTATAAAATTGATGTAATACAATTTAACATGAATTTATAGTACAGAATAATACTTACCTGTACCTGGGTTCCAACGCCTGTGTCAGAGCCACCTGAGCTGTAAAAGAGCAGCTAGGTGTAAACAGGCAGCATCAGTATAAGTTACTCCCGTGGGCCGGGTATAGCAAGATGACCGCCCTCAATCACGCAAGATTAAAGATGGCAGTGTATGGGTGAAGCAAGATGGCCGCCCTCAATCTCACGAGATGTGAGACTAAAGATGGCCGCTCAGGTTTGATCGCAATTAGCCTATGGAAATACAATGCCAAAAACAGTCCCAAAGAGGCAATATAAATACAATAACGGAGAAGAGTAATACTCTGACCTGTCTGCTTGATAGAGCAGCATGGAAAGAGGAAGTGATGAGGTCACTATGCCTTATGTACATCCTACCCTCGAGATTGGTTCTTTTTTCTATGTGTTTCTTTGCTGCTGTGTGGAGCTAGTAAAGAGAGATTATACAAAATACAAAGCCTCCTGTCATTTTGTTAAATTCACAGATAAGGCCTCCTAGAATTGGAAAAAAGTCTTATAAATGTAATCAAAATGAAGATGTGCAAAATAGTTTTCATGGAATCAATACAGTTGCAAGAAAAAGTATGTGAACCCTTTGAAATGATATGGATTTCTGCACAAATTGGTCATAAAATGTGATCTGATCATCATCTAAGTCACAACAAGAAGTAAATCAACAACAGAATGGCTTAAACAGAAGAAAATATGCCTTCAGAAGTGGCCCAGTCAGAGTCCTGACCTCAACCCGATTGAGATGCTGTGGCATGACCTCAAGAAAGCTATTCACACCAGACATCCCAAGAATATTGCTGAACTGAAACAGTTCTGTAAAGAGGAATGGTCAAGAATTACTCCTGACTGTTGTGCACGTCTGATCTGCAACTACAGGAAACGTTTGGTTGAAGTTATTGCTGCCAAAGGAGGTTCAACCAGTTATTAAATCCAAGGGTTCACATACTTTTTCCACCTGCACTGTGAATGTTTACATGGTGTGTTCAATAAAAACACGGCAACATTTCATTCTTTGTGTGTTATTAGTTTAAGCAGACTGTTACTGTCTATTGCTGTGACTTAGATGATAATCAGATCACATTTTATGACCAATTTGTGCAGAAATCCATATCATTCCAAAGGGTTCACATACTTTTTCTTGCAACTGTATATTCTTTTTTTTTTTTTCCCAAGGGGCATGGGAGGTTCTCAAATGCCTAGCTACATTTATAAAAAGTTTTATATTGTGTAATTAGTTTTGTTTGTGACAACATTTCAAGGTTCAAAACAGCTGTTCTGTTGGACACAAATTACCCTAGACTTAACCCCTTAAGGACACATGACATGTGTGACATGTCATGATTCCCTTTTATTCCAGAAATTTGGTCCTTAAGGGGTTAAAGCCGTCAATGCTGGTCATCTCAATGCCGCTTCATCACATCAGAATTAATTCCTCTTTTGTCAAAACAAATGATGAAACAACCAATTAGAAAGGAGTATCTAATAGGTTTTATTCCAGTGAAATACTTTGTGGATCCTTTATCATAGATTTTAACACATCGGCCGGGTCTTTTTTTTCTTCTCCTTTTTTCCCTTTCCTTATGCCTCCTGTATCTTAATGGTTTATACACCTTGCCTTGTCACTGTTTTTTACTTTATTTTTTTCCCTTGAGCCAGACTTCAATATCTGGGTGCAGCTGTTTTGCTCTCATCTTCCCATAACGGTTTGCCTGTCTGTGGGACTGATTTTACTGATGGATTGTGGGTACATTTTATTGACAACTGAAAGTTTGGGGGGTTTTTTTGCTTTAAGCTCCACCCATTGTCAAGTTTTGTCCTCTTGACTGCTGAACATGCAGAACAGAAAAGCACTGAATTGGCTGAGACTGTCAAGGAGGCAGATCAGGAGCAGAGCCAGCACAAGCAAAACACAGCCCTGGCCAATCAGCAACTACTCACAGAGATGCATTTAATTAATGCATTTCTAGGAGGAAAGTTCAAAGTCGGCATGCAGACGGTGGAGACACTGAATGCTAGTGCTGCACATTGCACAGCACTGCCCCAGGAAGCACCTGTAGCAGCCATCTGAGGAGTGGCCAGTGGAGATATCCTTAGGCTGTAATGTAAACACTGCCTTTTCTCTTAAACTACAGTGTTTACTGCTAAAAGCTTTAACAGAATGCTTCTACTCACCAGAACAAATACAATAAGCTGTAGTTGCTCTGGTGACTATAGTGTCCCTTTAAACTTACACAGTATGTATAGGCAGTGTATTGCAAATGAAAAAAATAAAATAAAAGCCCAAAGCACAATCCATAGCTTATTTTTAGTGAGATGTTTGATTGTGACAATGGAGCTTTCGAGTTCTATATTTATCCGTAAGGTTCTGCATTTAAACAATTTTATTTCACAGGGGTCAAATTCCTTTACTGGTGCTTTGCATGTCTACAAATTTCTCCGATCATACAGAAAATAATGTGATTCAAAACAAACATGTGACAAAACATTATATTGGATGGGTATACATAACACTTTATGGAGATAAAAATGGATTAGTCAACAACTGTTGATCAATGTATGTAAGATGATCTTTACATCAACGACACAACTTTCCTTTCTGTAACCCACAAGATACCACTACTGTGTTTTAGTTTTTGCATAAGCTTGCTATGTCATACTTTGCATGTCTATCAGTGCAACAATAAAGAATCAAAAATAAAAAAATGGATCAGTCGTTTAACCGTATTTATTATTCACTAGAATAGTTTTGCATGGGTATAATTAAGGTTTATAAAAATACAAAAAAATAACATTCAAAATACTATTGATACATTTAACACAAGTATTTTAAAGAACTATTATTAAAAAAAAAATAAAAAAAATCTTCTTTACATATATTGGCACACCTGAAATATATAGTGTCTGTCAAGGATAAATTAAATAGAGTAACCGTGTGTATTTACCACTGCTGGCTCCAACCTGTATTTTCCAAAGGCAGCAGGTAATGCCCCCAATGTTGTCATATTCATACTATTTTATGGCACCTGACACATACATGTTTTTTTCTTCAGGTGAAAGTACAACTTCAATCTTAAGCCTCACATTTATAAATAGATTAAAACTCGTTTTAGATACTATCCAAAACCACACAATACTTATTGCAATATGCAAAGATAGGTCAAATTTGGCTTAAGATATTTTCTAACAATAGGACAAGTCTTAGGCAATTAACCTCCATCCTCCTCCCCAAAACATTTTACTTATCTTTATTGCCCCAGCACACAGGTCTCTGTGCAGTTATCCTTCTACCCTCTCCCCCCCACACCTCCTGCCCCCTACCCAGCTTGCTTAGATCAATCCTGATGAACCCATAGAGAAGCATTTGTAGGCAAGTGTGCATGTGTGGCAATCGCCACACTGCGACCGATCAGCATCTTCTGATAGAGAAGCATCATGTTAATGCATCTGTACATGGAGAGTTCAGAGCATAGAGACGTTGAACTGCGGGTCTGTAATTTTTGCAGGACTGAACCAAAGATGTCCCTCTAATGACTGAGTGACAAACACCAGAGGTGGGTTTATGCAGCAGTGTAAACCCAGACAGACTATTCGCCCCATAACCACTGTATTAAGCAGAAGTGGTTCTGTTGCCAATATTATCCCTTTAACATAATGCTGTTGTACACAACATTAGTAAGACTATCAGTTACATTTTGCCTGTACTAGTACCGGTGATAGGGAGCAGCAACCTTTCAGCTATCAAACACAAGTCTTAATATACTCAGCCATCTCCTTTGAAGTGGCTGGGCATAAGCAAAATTGCAGACCAACAACAGCAGAGTTGCTCTTGGCATACCCAGTGATAATTTGCTTTTTGCATGTAATGCTTTCTAAAACCACTAACCACACACTGTAATTAAGGGCACAATATCACAAGCCTGTACTGCATGAACTATATAATGCAGTACAAACCTAAATATCACAAACCTGTACTGCAGTGGATAAAAGGATCGTCTGTAGTCCAGAAAGTATTTGAACAAACGCACTTCTGTACATTGCATATATAGATAATATTATATATTGATCAATTAAACTGGTCAAGTACCATTTCACTTATTTTAAGTTTTTTTATCTACATGCTGGGCTTTGTGGGTACATATAATCCACACCTTTGGTTCAATTCACTTAACCATTATCAAGTCATCATAACAGTCTGATTTGTAAAATTTAGGCCATAACAGCAGTTTATGAAAACTATCCTAGTCAGTTCCTGCTGCTATTTTTGACACATTTTTGTCAGTCGGCTGTGATTGTGGAGAATGTGCAAAATGCAGTTTTAAATGCCACAATTACATAAAGCACTTGAGGTTATATTGCGTTGTACTAGGTTCTAAAACGTAAACAAAAAATGAAACACCTCTTTCAAATAGAAAAAAATACACAAAAGGGACTCTGTCATGTGTAACTGTATTTTAACCTGGAAGCTATTTTATCTATAGATATTACTTGCTGAATGGATACCAAGTGTGCATTTTTTTTATAACTAAATTTGCAAATCTATTTACATTACATCTTGTCACAGAGATAGGGGATGATACATGCACAAGTCTCTCTCAGCATTCTATCTGATCCATCAGAAAGCTAAGTTTTCTGGGACACATGTAAGCAGATGCCAGGTGATGAGCAGGCATCCAATGGAGTTCTTTTCAGCAATCTCTTGTGACTAGCATAGGGCCAATTATAGTTTACTATATGTGTTATCCATTTGGCAAGTATTACTTATAGATTAAATTATTTACACATAGCAAAAAAGACTGATGTGTTAGGTGTGACAGAGACCCTTTAAGACAAGGCATAGGAGTCTTATAAAATATAGTTTATTACTTACTGCCTGTCGGGACATTTGGTTATTATCCCATTGAATTCAGAGGACCATAAAATATTAACCTTTTCAGTAAAGAAAAGTACTGCAAAGTATTGCTCAGCAATGCATTGCAGATATGCTAAAAAACAAACAATAACAAAAATCAGTTAATAAGCAATGCAGCTATTCTGGGAAAGATTCAAAAAGCAAAGATAAAGGCTTCCTTATGAGAGCATTGTAATGGTCTCTCCAGCTATTCAGCTGACTCTTGTGGTCCTTGGAGAGTGCAAATATAAGCTTCCATAAAATGATCATGCATTAGCTTTCTCTCCAGTTAGTGAATGTCCTGCTTGGTTAGTATTCTAACTTAGTATAAATTGTTACCAAAATACAGTAGTAATAAATGGCATCAATCTAAAATAAAGACCTAAGACCTTCATTTGGTGACAAAATAAGTTTTGTAAGAAAATGTTGAAATTTCAGCCAGTTGCTTGTCGTCCTCCAGCTTAAAAGGACAGGGATATGAAGGTAGTTCCTTCCATGTCAGATTACCAATCCAAAGCAGGTGTTGAGTGCAAAATATAAACGCCATCAAGGCCCCTTATCTCCGGCCCCCATATTTGGAAATCCAGTCTGTTCTCCCATGAATCGGCTGAATGGGAGGTGGGGGCCTGGGTGACAGGCCTGTGGCAGTTTTGGAAGGAGAGGTGAATGAAGTCTGTCCCAAGTATGCTCCAACAGATTTCAGAGATCCATAATCTAGAAAAATAATGGTCGGTAAGGAGCTAGATAGAACCACAATCATTCACTAGCATAATTGTATTTTCTGTGTAAGCATTTATAAATTTTTATTTAACTGACATAAAAACAACCTGTGAAGTGCAAAAAAAAGTCACAAGTGGGAAGGAATAGCTAACATTTATAGAAATAAGGAATTAACAGGACATACTTGTTATTGTATTTTCTAAAATGAATGCTGGTTACGAGCAAAGTATCGAGATGCCTTAGTCATGTAGGAGGTTGCATTACCATGTTATTGCCATTACCCTGTGAATGATTAACGTCTGTTATTACCATGATGTTTGGCAAATTTAAATAACTTTTAGCTTAATGAAGCAGTTTTTGTCTCACTACCCAATGCTCTGACATTTAGAAGTAAAAGGGACACTATAGTCACCAGAACAACTACAGCTTAATGTAGTTGTTCTGGTGAGTATAGACAGTGACTGCATGCATTTTCATTCAAACACTGCCTTTTCACAGAAAAGGCAGTGTTTACATTGCCCCCTACGGACAACTGTAGTGGATACTGGAGGTGCTTCCTGGGGCATTGCTGAACAGTGTGCAGTGCGTTAAGCGTCTCCATTCTCTGCATGGAGATGCTGAACTTTCCTCACAGAGATGCATTTATTCAATGAGGAGCATTGGGCAAGCTGGAGTTTGGCCCAGCCCTGTGCCGCCTCCTTGCCGATTTCAGCCAATCCAATGCTTTACCTATGAGAAGACACTGGATTGTCTGAAATCATAAATTCTGACGATGTCAGCAAGGAGGCAGGGCCAGCGCAGGCAGACCAGCTTGGTGCTGGAAATAAGGTAAGTTCTAACCCCTTGTAAGGTGGTTTTAACACTATAGGGTCAGGGATACATGTTTTTGTTCCTGACCCTATAGTGTTTCTTTAACCCCTTAACGACTGTGGACATACTAGGTATGACCAACAAACATCAAACAGTCGTTAAGGACCGCGGACATACCTAGTACGGCTGCGGCAAATGTGAGTACTACACTTACCTGGACCAGCGATCCCGGTCGGGGGGACTGCCCCGAGACCCCAGCAGTCCTCCTGCAGCAGCTCACATGGCCGCAAAAGAAATCTATAGAGCTGCCTGCAGGGGAACAGTGTGAGCTGTTTATATACACACATCTCAAAATACACTTCTAATCTAATAATATATATAAAATGCTTTAATCATTTTATAATATATTATACATATATAGGAAATAAAAGTGTGTGTGTGTATAATATCAAGTATTGGTTTGATCTAATTCGGCTGTGTTTTATGCCTTTGCTTATTTTAATTTAATGAATAAAATTCATTTTTTGAGTTTGGTGTTGGCCCGGAGGAACATAGGGCCCCCCACTTACTGTCATTTAGGGCCCTGCCCCCACCCCCCCATATTGTCTTTTAGGGCTACCATCTGCCACTCATGGGTGGGTGCTGGGTAGGGGGAAACAATAGGAGGTCCCCCCATTGGCTTTTTTTTTTTGTGTGCAATTTTTATGGTTTTACAATGTGTACAGATTTACATTCCAACATGGTACATTAGTTAGAGTAATCGTTACAATATTCACATGCTATGAGTTCACATTTTTGAGATGAAAGATTCTTAAGTTACACCATACTTTGTTACATCATACATATTATAATTCTTTCAGCTCTTTATTCCAGATGAGCTCTGGTGGTTGTGCGGTTTGTGCTGGTTTCTGGTCTTAACTTAGAAATGTACTGTACGTTCCTAATGGTGGTTGGAATTGGTATGGGGGGTTGAACTTGGAGGTAGAACCAGGATACTGTTCCCCAAAGAACTGGGGATGGGGGGGAGGAGGTAGGGAAGAGGGTCGACCCTTGTTGCCTCTACCCATTTTATATGTGTTCTCATTTTGTGTCATTTATCTTGGTGCATCATTTGTGGTTTTCTGTGACACTACCATTCGTTATTGTTCGTTGGAGCCTTTACTCTGTATTAGTGGGTTTGTGGCGTGTGTTGGTGCCGGTTCCACCTTTCCCACGCCACCCTCCAGTATGCCTGTGGGAGTCTATGCGCTCTAGCCGCCATTTCATATTTTTTTGTATCTTCAATCTGTTGAATGCATTCACTTATGTGTGGAGGTTTTGTTTGCAACCATTTTCTGCTTATATTTGTGAGTGCGGCGGAAGTAATGTGATATATTAAGTATCTGTCAGCTTTTTTAATGCCAGTTGGTAGGCACTGGAGGATGTAGTGTTCAGGTGCTTGTGGTATGTTAGTCTTGGTCACCTTTTGTATTAGGCAGTGTATGTCTGTCCACATTTTCCCCAGATTTGGGCATGTCACCACATGTGCAGCATTGTCCTTGGGTGTTTGTTGCAACTCCAACAAATCCCTGAATGTGCCGGTGTAATATGTTTCATTTGTGTAAGGACTAAGTACCAGCGGTACAGTATTTTCCTACTTATTTCCAAATGGGATGTGTTCAGTGTTAGGGTTTTGTTTGCGCAGAATGTGTGCGCCCATTGGTCGTCCGTTAGTTTCTTACCCAATTCTGTTTCCCAAGCTTGGACAAATGTAAGGTCATGTAAGGATTTTGTTAGATAGTTTTGATTGTATATCTTAGATAATGGATGTGAAGGCTGTTTGTTCTGTAGGCACATTTGCTCTGGGGCTGTAAGGTTCATCCACCTGTCTTTTGAGGGAAGTAAATGTTTGTGTTTTCCCAGCCAGGAGGCAATCTGCCTATGTGCGAATTCTGCTTAGTTAGGGAGTTTGTATTCCCTTTGCAGCTGGTTAAATGGTATAAGTTTATGTTGGTCATATAGTTGGTATAGGTGTCTCAAACCTGTTGTGTTCCAAGTGGCGATGTTCACAAAGGGTATGAGTTCTGTGAAAGAAGAAATTGGCATTGCGGGTGACCGAGTTGTGTTCGTTTTATGGATTTTGTGATGTCTGTCCCATTCTCTCAGTGTTGTCGCGGTTGTAGGAGACATGTGTATGTGTTTTTTCCTGTGTTGTGGTAGTAGCCAGACAAGAGAAGTAATGTGTTGTCCGTCTGTGTGTGTCTCCTCAATGTCTATCCATGAGTTTGGTGTCGAGGATTGGTGTAACGTTGTTATGAGTTGGCTCATGACGGCCGCTCTATAATACGTGGTGAGGTGTGGTAGGTCCGTGCCCCCCCAATTTGTATGATAGGTACATAATATTTGCCGCTGTCCTTGGCTTTTTGGGTGCCCAAATAAATGTGTTAATCACTTTCTGAGCTATCTTGAGGAATGTTTGGGGTAGTTTAATTTGTAAAGTGCGGAATAAGTATTGCAGTTTTGGCAATATTAACATTTTTACTGCAGCAATTTTTCCCATCTATGAGACAATGGATTTCCCTTTCCATTCCATCATCTGTTGTTTTATAGAGTTTAAGGTTTTGATGTAGTTGTCTCTGAGCAGGCGGTGTTCTTGTTTTGTGAAATTGATCCCCAGGAATGTAAGGCTGTCCTTCCATTCATATTTGTGTGTCTGTTTCAGAATTGTTGTTGTGTGTGGTGGTGTGTGTAGGCACATGCCCTGCATTTTTGTGGTGTTCAATTTATAATACGAGCAATCACTATATTGTTTCAGAGTGGTATGGAGAGCCGGGATAGAAACTATCGGGTCAGTAAACGAGAGCATGACATCATCAGCAAACATGGTAATTTTGTATTCTTTGTCTGCTATGCATACCCCTTTAATCATTACGTTGTCCCTAATGGATTGTGCGAGTGGTTCAAGGGCGAGGATATAGAGTATTGGGGATTGTGGGCATCCTTGACGGGTGCCGTTTGTGATTTCAAAGGGTTGGGACACAAAGCCTCCGTTCATTATTTGGGCGGCAGGTGTAGAGTAGAGTGCCGAGATTAGGCCTTGAAATGCGGGTGGGAAGTTAAATTTTTGCAGGACTGTTTGGAGGAAATTCCAGTGCAACTTGTCAAAAGCCTTTTGGCATCTACTGACAAACACTCTGGGTTGTTCATGGGCCTTTTTACCATAAAGCAGGCTGTGAAGTTTTCTTGTGCCATCTGCCCCCTGTCTCCCACAAATCCCAATTGGTCTGGGTGTATCAGGGAAGGTATGATGGTCGTTACTCTAGTAGAGCATATTTTTGCGAGAATTTTTGTGTCGGTATTTAGTAGGGAAATGGGGCATAGATTTTTTGGCTGATCCAGAGTCTCCCCCGGTTTTGGTAATGTGGTTATGTGCGCGAGTAACATCTCTGGTGACATGTTTCCCAATTGTACTATGTTATTTAGTGCTGTGACTAGGTGCGGGGCTAGAGTGTTCTGCAATGTTTTATAATATTCGTTGGTGAAACCACCTGGGTCCGCTGATTTCCCTGATGGTAATGAGTGTATTGTCTGCATCAGTTCTTGTAGTGTGATTGGTTTTTGTAGACTTTCTTTATGCAATTGCGTGAGAGTTGGTAGTCTTATGTTGGCAAGTAAGTTTTGTATTTCAGTGTGATTGGGTTGGTGTGTCTGTGTATCGTCCCGCAGGTTATAAAGACTTTCGTAGTAGTTAGCAATCATTGTGTTAATTTCTCGGTGGTCGTTTATTTTCCCTCCTGCGTCATGGAGTATGTATGGGATTTTTGATTTTGCTTGTTTCTGCCTCAGCATTGAGGCTAGCGCTTTGCTGATGTACTGACTTAATTAAAAAAAAAAAAGTTGCATTATATAGTTGATAAATATGAGTCAATAGATGTCGTCTGTGTGATGCGCCAGGGCAATTAGACCATTGGAGGGAAATTATTGGGATATTTGGACAGTCAGGCATACAACAGCACTAGGGCAGTGTCTAAGAAGCCCCCATTGTCTTTTAAGGCCCCCAACCCGCCACTCATGGGTGGGTGCCGGGAAGGGGGAAACAATAGGATGTTTTAGGGCCCCCACGCGCCGCTCATGGGTTGGGGAAGGGGGGACCCTATGTCCCCCATTTAGCTGAAGAGCCTCCATACAGCCTCCAGCCGGGTACGGGTAGAAGCTTGGAGGGAGGGGGGCCCACTATGTCCCCCCCGCTAGTTAATAGATGCATCAACCACTTTTTTTTTTTTATACAGCCTGTGGCTGTGGCATGGAGTGAGGGAGGACATGGGAGGTTTTTAGTTTTACATATTACAAGGAGGGAGCTGCACGCGAACGAACAAACAAAAACACATTCAGTTTGTGTCAGCGGGAATTTTACAGCGCTATCTAGTGTGGGCAGATGACTTGTCCCACAGGGCCTTCAACTGCCCACACAATGATGGAGGTGCAGAGGACCTAGGTTAGGCCACAAAATAAAGATTAAAAATAAGCAATATGGGGGGCCTAGAGGGCAATTCGATTTGGTGGAGTGGGGAGGGGGGTTAAAATAAACCAAAAAAACTTATGCGGCCATGACAGTGCCGCTTTAACATCAGATCAGACCAAATAGACTAGATAAAAATGCAATCATGCAGAACATGTTTTTAAATGTGCCAGGGTTGACTATTAGATCTCTACAAAAGCTTTATATGCTAGTTAGATAGTAAAGTCCTTTGGAAAGAGCTGCTGCTTTCAACATCATTGAGGGGGGCATGGCAATGACTAGTGGGTGAGTGAAACATTTGAACCCTATATTTAATATAATACTATATTATGACAGTACTATAACGGTCTTTTTTTCTTTTTTTTTTTTTTAAAGCATGAACACAACCACTTACTTGGAGCTGGATCTGTAAGTGGAGCTAAATGAACCTTCTGACTTGCCAAACCCATTTCTTTTTTTAAAAAAGATGGGGTATAATTAACAGCTGATCCGCTGCTCCCAGTATGCCCTGAAAGACAGAAAAGTTAAATGTATTTTCTGATGAACCATCATAAAGGAACACTCTTACGTTAAAGGGACATGCATCACTTGGAGACAATGAACTCATTCAAAAACTAGCTTTAAATGAAATAGCTGCCTCACTCTGCAGGCTGAAAAAAAGCAGGTAATCTGATTTTTTTTTACCACAATTTACTGGCTTCTTATAATTAGTTTCCATAGCCATTTTGGGGGGGCAGGGAGGTGGCTCAGATCTAACCAATCTGCATTCTATCCCTAGGGATGCTGGAAGAGTGTGTTGGGTATGCCTGACAGATTTAAATATGTAGAGTTGGGAGATCTCTTCACCTTGCAACATACTAACAGGGGGAGAAGAGGGAAAGTCTGATCAGCGTGATTCATGCAGGGTTTGTTCCAGTGTCAGGATGCTCTACTTTGCTACTGCACAATGATGCCCTGTTTGATTAGTGGACTGGTCTGAAACTGAGAAGGGTGGGGGAGCCTGAAAAAAATCTCCCTTAGCCAAGAGGCACCTGATGATCTCAACCAATCCAATGTGTTAATGTCGTGCCAACCAGCATTATACTAAAGCAACTCTATGAGGAGCATTCAGTGTCATCATGCAGAGCGTGCTGAACCACAATCGGCTCTCTGAGTGACAGCCTCTAGAGGTGTTTTTGCAGCTCAACGTAAACACCACCTTTTCTCAGAAAAGTAATTTTACGGTATTCAGAAGAATAAAACTGAGATGACCATGCAAACCCAATTTCTGAACATACAGCAAATCAGATGAATTAAAAGGGACACTGTAGGCATCAAGACCACTTCAGCCCATTAAACTGGTCAAGGTGCCAACTCCCATCACCCTTAACCCTGCAGTGGTAATTATTTCAGTTTTTATAAAACTTTTGTTTGTCTAGACGACGCTGGACGTCCTCACGCTATGCGTGAGGACTTCCATCGTCGCCAGAACCCCTATAGGAAAGCATTAAATGCTTTCCGAGGGGAGATCCTAATGCGTGCGCGGTCATAGCCACGCATTTAGTCTCCCCCGCCATGGGGAGGAGCGTGGGCAGAGCGGAGCAGAGGGACATCGGCGCTGGACCCAGGTAAGTGACTGAAGTGGTTATTGACCCCTTCAGTGCTGCGGGAGGGGGCCTTGACAGAAGGGGAAGCTACAGTGCCAGGAAAAAAAGTTTGTTTTCCTTGCACTATAGTTTGCCTTTAACTCACAGATTCTCACTATTTAGCTAATGCAAATTAACAAATGTCAAATTATATTTTCCCATGATCTAACTGTATGTAATCTTTGGTAAATATGTTTTTTAAATTTCAAAAATTTGGCAAAAAAGTTAGGTCCCAACAGAAATCAATAAGATCTAAAATCCGAGTAAATAAGTTATAACATGGAATTGTTACAGTGTTAAGAAGTGGGAAAATCTGAGCAGCAATCTGTTGGATGCACCAGGTACCCAGTCATGTCAGAGGTAAGTTGAATCTGTATAAAACTTCTGCTTTGTATATGACCAGAGCAAACAGTTAGTAGAATAAACACACTATATACGGATTGAAGAGTGAACTACCAAACCTGCTTTAAAAAAAATAAAATAAAAAAAATGCAACACTGGCAAGATTACGTTAAATGTAAATTGACACAAAATTACAATAACTGTTTCTCTAAACTTGGATAAAGCATTCTTTCCTGCTCTTTTTCAAACGCACTTGGAATACATTTTTAACCAGGCCCAGACAGTCATGCTCTAGTACAGTGTTTCCCAACCCAGTCCTCAAGGCACACCTACCAGTCCAGGATTTAGGGATTACCCAGTTGTGTCTAAGGTGTTTTTACAAAGAAGAAAAAAAAAACACCTTAGACACAACTGGGTAATCCCTAAATCCTGGACTGGTAGGTGTGCCTTGAGGACTGGGTTGGGAAACACTGCTCTAGTAGACCAAAAATATGATCTAAGACTGTGGTATAGCACAATAAGGCAAAATAGTTAAACCTTGTGCAGTTATTGTGTATAAGCTGCTGTAGCCCCAACAGCAAGCAAAACATAGCAATCCAAAGTATTCTTCCACAAAGGGCAGCTTAGTTATAGGGGCCCACTAGTGCAGCCCAAATTTAATCAAAGAGAATTCAAAGTACAGATGTTTTGGGACCCCTGTCCCTTTATCAAGGGCTTTTATCATTGATAAAGGGACAGGGGTCCCGAAACATCTGTACTTTGAAAGCTCTTTGAATAAATTTGAACTGCACTAGTGGGACCCTATAACTAAACACATTGTGCAGTAGCAAAGTAGAGCATCCTGACACTGCACATTGTGGATGAATACTTTGGATTGCTCTATGCCCATGTGGTGTGCAAGAACGACAGTGTTAGGAACAGGAAGTAACATTGCTCTGCATAGATCACAGCAAATCTTGCAGGAGCTAAACGGAAAGAAAAAATGCTTTTTGTTAAAAACAAATAAGCTGATGATTAAGACATCAAAAATAAAATAGGTCATTCTAAAAATTGCATGGGTTGTGATACCAGATATCTCACCAGAAATCTTGCTGCTCACACCTGAGACCAAACCAAGAGGTTTGAGAGGCTGACGAACATTCGGCCAATGACTGTTGAAACTTATCGTTTCTTGACTTGGTATGTCCAATGCACCATTTTTGATGGTGAGACCTACGAACAGACAAAGATAGCTGCTTACCACTGTCCCAGAAGCAAGAATATATTCATAGCATCATGTAAATATGATATATAATCATTCCTTTTCATTAGATTTTATTTTCCCCCACACAGTGTATTTTGGGGGAAATTCAGACCACGTGTCCCACTAGTGCAAACATTTCGTATTTGTATTCTGCTGCTGTTCTCGAGTACAAGAATACTTCACATGTATATATTTTACCTTAATTCTGCCTCTAATCCTATTTCTAATAGTGTCTCTAATCCAAACCCTTCATTGAATCATAATACACCTAATCAAACACAACCTCAATCTAACCCATAATCCTAGTCCAGTGGCGGCTCTAGACTTGGCGAGGCCTTAGGCGAAACTCATACATGAGGCCCCCACTAACACCATTATTGGAAAAAAACAGCAGTTGACTTGTGTGTGTATAAGAAGCTGTAGATATATTGAAGGGCGGGCTTGCAGTACTGGATATAGAGAACTAGTCTTTGTATACGTCGTTGCATTGTCTACCTGTGTGTGCCTGAGAGTGTGTGTCTGGCAGTGAGTATCTTTGTATATGTATGCATGTTTCTCTGAGCATGTGTATGTTTGTGTTACTGCCTGTGGCATTAGGTTCATGGCGAAGCTATGTTTTATGACAGTGTGTAGAATGATTGCCTTCAGGGGGTGACAGGGTGAGTAAAGGAGTAACTGTGGCAGGGTGATTGTAAAAAGAGCAGGAGGGTGCCAGAGTGCGGAGAGTGGTGCCCGTGTGTTTAGAGGGAGAGATAGTGTGTATGGAGGGGGGTGACAGTGTGTATGGAGGGGGTGACAGTGTGTG